GCATTTAGCAAGGATACTGGGTTCTGAGTTTGTCCACTCATGTATTGCTATCTCCCATCTCGCTTTTAATTCTCACCAGTTCTGTTCTTATCATTTAAGTCGATGGGTGAGGGAGGACTTTTTTTTTTTTTTTTTTTTTTTTTTTTTTTTTTCCCAGTGGGATAGAGTTTTTGTTTTGTTGTTTCTTTCATGCTTCTCATTTTTATCTAGATAATTTCTCATTCTAGAGTTATTGACTGTGGGGCTAGGAAAATTCTGGAAGGGAGCCGTAGGGTGTCTTTCATTATATTTTAAAATACGAGTAGAAAAATAGCTACAGATGTGTTGGGAAAAATCCCATAGGAGGCATGGGACAGCATCTTATATTAAAACCAGATATCTATTGGATTTCCCAAGTCTTGGTAATAAAGAATGTGTCACAAGAGCAAATCTTCATGTACATTTCAACTACTACTGAGGATGCTAGGTTTCTGTTGAGGCTGATGGCATGCTGGAGCTGTCTCAGAAGAATATTTGCTTTTAGGAATGATTGACAGATCAATTAGATTTCAATATTATTACTTCACACTTAATTTCTGTACTTATCCCTAAAGTTGCCCAATTTAGTTGATGGTTTGGAAGCCTGAGTATTTAGCTATTTCCCACTACAACGAACAATGCTGTGAAAAAGTTGTCATTACAGGAAATTCAGTTGAATATATGAATTGCTCCTGTTGATATTTCAAGGCCACAGGAGAATTGTTTCAATGGCATTTTGCTTTCTTTCTTTACAGAAATAACTATAAACTAATCATGTGATTCTTTTCTCCCCCTTTTTTTTTTTTTACTCTGCTGTTGCCTTCCTAGAGAGACACCCAATTACAAATGCTATCGATGGCAAGAATACTTGGTGGCAAAGCCCCAGCATAAAGAACGGCATCGAATACCATTATGTGACAATCACACTGGACTTGCAGCAGGTACAGTGTCTCTTCTCATTTTCCACTTTTGAAATTGCACCTTGCTTTGGTTATTTGTTTATTTCATAGCTTCTAGTTGAGAAGATACACTTATCACCTTTCTTTATTTTTTGACATCATAGAAAGGTCTGTTGATGGGTATATAATGAGTTAGAAATATTTTGCACTTTGCACCAAAACACAAGTAAAGTGCATCTGTGTAAATGATTTAGAAATTAACTTGAAGCTTAATCTACATGAAGTATTCAGAGTTAATGAAAATATGGATCAGCAATATTTTATTGGAAGAAAAGAATAATTAAAAGGCCATTTTTAACTTTTGAAATATTGCAGTGTTTTCACTCTGCTGATGGTGTGGGCCCTTAAAGGTTCTCGGATAACAAGGCTCTTGAGTATATTGCCTCTCATTACTGAGCTGAACACACTGCGACAGTTGAGGCTCAAATTAAATTTGGGCCACTAAGCAGGGTAACAAGCCTTGTAGTTGCATAAAATTGAGGGTGGAAGTCAGGGTTTGTGGTGTATGGCCCTGGCTGGTTTCTATGCTTAATTTTCTCTTTCTGTTCATAATGATCAGGCCAGGCTGGAGTTACTTATCAAGAGTCAACATCACCCCAAATTACTGAGACCTGCAAGTGGATTTACACTAGAACTTGGAAAAAAGTTCCCATATTTCATAGTTATTCCATATAAGAAGTTCAATTGACCAAAGGCTGAGACTGGAGACGCTGAACTTAGATCACCTCTTTGATTCAGCCTGTTTCTCTTTCATGCTCTGGTATATGTATAGGAAAGACCCTCAGCCCCTCTTCCGTGGACCACTGTAGACACAGAGTAGCAGGAGTGCTTAGACCTGGGGAAGGGGAGTGGTCAATATAGCAAGACATACCATACTGTAGAAGCCATGACTTGTGAAGGTTGCCATGGAATAGAGAAGCATCAGCCAGGGACACCAGACACGGGGGCACAATCTTCCTCCTTCAAGTCTTGGACTGCTTTGATGAAAACCAGAGATATCTGGTTGCAAGGTTGGGCTCCTCAGGATCTGAAATACTGGGTGGCATGAAGGGCTCAGTGCCACAGATAAATACCAGTTTGTATGGGTTTACTTCCACCTATACTTATGTATGGCAGCTTACTGTCAACACAGAGTTAATGATATTCCCCAAGAAGTCTCAGCACATTGTTGCAGAATGGTGAGGCAAACCAGCACACTGATCAATCATGCTTAGGTCAATTAATCCTGTGCATGGATTCCCTGGAGATCCTAGCCTCAAAATGGACTTTATCCCTCCTGGATAGAGACAGCTTGATCCCTGATCGATTGCAGCAGTTCTCTCCCTTCATGTGATCATTGCAAGCCTGCCTTTCCAATCAAGAGCATGTCTGCTGTCCATCGACTTAGGTCATCCCCTGGGATAGGGAATCAATAAATCGTGATGGTTTATTGCTCCAGTTTACTCTCTACTCATTCTTTTAGATTGTGCATGAAACTAGAGAGTCAATTATTAATATAATTTGCACAAATCACTTAAGCTACCCTTTGAGCTTGACCACAATATTATTTATTTGTTATCAAACATAGCAGGATATTTTCTTTCTAATTTACAGCTGGACAGTGCAATCACACGTCTTTGGTAAATATTTCTTTCTGACTTGCCTGTCATGAATTTAATAAGTCAGAGAGTTCACCTGAAAGGCCATTTTTTTTAGCAAATTTCCTAAATTTGTTTTGCATCCCCGCACATCTATTCTTACCTAGTATTTTAAAATGATGTGGATTTGCTTTTCTGTTTTATCTTCCTCTTATATAGCATAACAGCCTTAATATGAGTGAATAATCTAGGGCATCTCTTATAAGTTAGTCATCATAACATAAGGTAGTGCTCTTTTGAGCATCAAAGTCTATCTGACTCGCAAGGCTAAAATGTACAAGAAGGAATTATCTATAGTTTAAAAGGTTCCAAGGTCTTATCCTGAAGGTTGATGCTTAGCCATAAGCATCAACCCCTACTGAATTTAGACTTCACCTTCTTCTTCAAATCTGCCACTCATATGTTCAAAACAAGAGAAACACATCATCCACACAACGAAATAAATGTTTATTTCTACTTGTCTCAGAATTGTAAGAATTATTTAATGATGTATGGATTGAAGGAAGCTTTATGAAGATTTTGTGATGGAATTTGTAGGACCAAAAGGGGCTTCACCTTTCTGACTTGACCTTAGATTTTGGAAGAATAATCTGTAGACCTACTTATTCATCTGTGGATCAAATCTATAGCAAGGGACATCCTAGCACTTTAGCAACAGAAAATAAAGCATCCAGTATGATGTTATTTTTGTCCCACAATAATCCTGCAAGCATTATAATTCTTTTTTTGTAGCTGATGAACACTAGTTAAATGACCTAGTCCACATTGCAAAACTTAGTACAGCAGGGGATGGATTTCATCCTCAATAATATGAATCCAAAACTCTAACTATGCCAATATTGTGTGATAGGAATCCTAGGGAGCTTCTGGGAACTTTCCTTACACTGTATTTTATAGGAGTTCACACATGGTTTGGATTAAAGAAGTACCTCACCATATTTTCTTTCCTTCAAGGAAAGAATGCATCCAACATATGCCATAAAATGGGAATGGATCTCTCATCTTCTAGTATAAGGTGTTATGCCTGTAAAATGAAACAATTTATGTTTTTCTACTTACATCATAAAAAATTTAGAGGTCATTCAGCATTATAAACTGTTGTCTAGCTTGGAACCAAGGAAAGTATTGCTGTGAGGAAAAGGCAATAATCTCTAAATACTTACTTATCATTGATTCAGCAAGAAGTTGGGCCATTTATTAGTCCTCCTTTTTATATTGAGATGAATAATATGTGACTTGTGCAAGTGTTTCTGTTGGTACATCCTTGGTTAAACTACATTTAATTAATTTGTGTTTTAAATATAAACAACAGCAATTGGATTGTCCTGATTCAGTCATTTCAGGTTATACTGGGAAATTTATTTCTCATTTTAACATTCAAAATAACACGTAGGAAAATATAATCTTTTTTTAGGAGAAAATAGTTCCCTGTTTTATGAGCAGATTGTTCTCAGACATTTATTACTAAGAGATTGTTAACTTTTCCAAATTCTATTTACTCAAACATCTTGAATAGATGATTTAATCACGCTGTGCCTCAGTGTCTAGATTAACAGAATAAATATCATAATATCATGAAAAGAACCTTGAAATAATGATAATAACAGTACAATAACTAAATTCCATCTGGTAGTAATGGCCATAATTGGGACCTAAAATCAACATAAACTTAAATACAGGCTTAAATGTTTCCACAATATACACGCAAAAGCCAACAAAATGGCACAGAAAAGCAAGCAGCAATTTAAAAGATAATAACAGGGACTGAAAGAATACTAAAATGTCCAAACCTTCCTATTTTATTTTTTTTCTAACAAGATATCATGAAAATATTATATTTTATCTTATTTCATGAAATTTCTAATATGACATTTTCTCAGTTTTGCCTTTCAATTTGTTCAAGAGAAAAGCCACTTGGAAATAGCACAGAGAAGCAGCTTTTTCTGTAGACTTTGTTAACGTAGGCTGAAGCCATAGTCACTGCTAGATAATCCAGAAATGCTGTAGAATTAGTTACACTTATATGTAAGAGTACTGTCCAGTTTAAAGCATTCCACTTCTATGACTCCTAAACATACATTTGTCAAATAAAAGTCACAGTTCATATACCATGTGTTTTTAACCTAATTGTTTTATCTATTGTCGAGACATATTTAGTGAAATGCATAAACAATGTTTAAAAATGATTATATTTAGGATGATAAATTATTATTATTATTATTATTTTAGTATATTTAGTACAGGGTTTACAGAGTCTCACTATGTAGATCATACTCATAGTGGTTTTCCTGTTTTCAACTTCCAAAGTGCTGGGATTACAGGCATGCAACAGCACGCCCAGTCTCAATCAACATGCACCAGGAACAGGGCTGGCACAGCACTCTGGGGATCAAACCCTGGGTCACTGCACCTGCCTAAGCAGGCAATTCAGTCTGCTGAGCTATCTGGCTGGCCCATGCTTTTTTAAAAATATTTTTCTATATTCATATGCTTATACTTTTATAATCTATGTGATTAGTATAGATAATACTTTTCTTAAAGTCTGAATCACTAATGGTTGAATCTATATCTGATAAAATAAGATGAAATACATTGAAGCACTTAGTCTATTTGTTTTATTTCATTTAGATGTATTGAGTGATCAATGTCTTATACTGAAAGATCTTTGTACATAAAACATAAATAAAAAGTATAAAAGATACAAAAAATGGAAAATATCCTGTGTTCATAGATGGAAAAAAATTATATTGTGAAAATGTTCATGCTTTAGCCCAAGATCTCTGTTAAAATTCCAAAGATATTTTTTTCATAATTTTATTGATAAACAAATAGCAATGAGACAGTTTCAAATCAAATCGCTAGGACAGTTTCAATAACTAACACACTGCATACATTCTTCTTAGTGGTTAATTGCTGTACAAGATGTGAGCTTGAGATCCTATTTACAAACATCATTAGAACAATTCATTCTATTCATTAACAGAATGTAACTATATATCTATCCTAACCACTTTGAATACACAGATACAAAATGGACATTCAACTGTATCCCCCCTTTTTTGTCAAGTTCCGTTATTTGAATATTATAGGTGTGTAAACTCAGCAAAATATTCTAAAGAGTCCAGTAGCCCATTATAGCATTGGGTCTTCTGTTTAACTGGCAATGTCAGAAATTATTGACCTGAGTCCCC